TAGTAATTTTGGTGTGCTTGGTTTGGATCACAATCAGCTGATTTTTCTGTCTATATGTATGTGATACAGTACCACCATTCCTTCTGAAATATCATAAATCAAAATATGGCAAATGGAAAATATAGGAGGCTACTTATGTTTGTAATAGAAATGCATTCTTAAAATTTCTAAGGTCAAAGTTTACTCAAATCTCTACTTAAATTAGTTCTTGTTAACAATTAAAAATGGTAGCGTAAGGATTTTTGTTCAAGATTTATCTACATTTTACATAGCTGTTAAAAGTACCATACCAGTGTTACTAATCCTCTAGGATGCTTATTAACCATACTTGGAGGCCTATACTAATCTGATCAAAGGGACTTAAAGAATAATGTTTTGATCCTTGTCCTACAAGATCAACTAAGTAACAGGGGACAAAAGATATCTCAAAATGTACTGTAACTGTTCAAGGATGCCCTGGAGATGCCACTAGATGAACTCTAACTCATGTCCAGTCTACGAAGAGGAAAGTCAACACACAAGGAAAGTTTACTGAATGCTTCCAGGAAGAGTCATGATCAAGTCCAGACTTTGACTTATCCTCACATAGATAGACTTGCTAAAACAAAAGCCAAAGCATCCAGGGTTTCCTCACCTCCACCAACCCCCAAAACACAAGTGACCCCTGCAAAGCAGATCCTCAACTGACATTAACAAAAAACATAACTAATTTGGATCAACTGCATGGTTTTAAACATTCTTTGGAAAAAATAAGCCAACATTAAAGTAATTGGTATATCTTCTTAAGCGTGCAAGGGATTCCAATTCCTAGCTATTAGACTTAAGGTCATACAAAATGTAACGTGTTTTATTTATTCATTTTATTTTATTTTATTTTATTTTGACATTTTATTATTATTAATTATATGCATGAATGTATTGCCTGCATTTATGTTGTGCCTTTGCACCCATGTTGTGCAAAGCCTACTGAGGTCAAAATAATGCATCAGATCCACTAAAATTAGAGTTACAAAATACTGTTACCCACCATGTGGGAGCTGGGAACAGAATTCAGGTCCTTTGGAAGAGTAGCCAGTACTCTTAACCACTGAGACATCTCTCCAACCCCTAAAATGTTAGGCAATTATTTTTCATTAATGATTTTGTTATTAATAGAAAAATGCTACTTAAGGGAGTGGTTTTATTTTCAGATTTGTATTCTTTTTATTTGGGGCAGCCAAATAATGGAACTTGGACTTAAGTAAGCCACACAGAAGTCAAATGCTACATGGTCTTTCACATGTGTAGACATTTTATAAGTCAGTATAAATTAGAATATTGATTTTGGAATGTTGAGATAATAAGAAATAAGTAAAGCTAAATGGAAAATGAATTTGATCTGTGCAGTTTATGTATATCTATAAATACCACATTTGTACCATTAAGATACACAATTAACACCATATTAATAAAAATATAATTAAAGAGGGACTGAAGACATGACTCAGTGGTTAAGAGCTCTGACTGGTCTTGCAGAGGACCTGGGCTCGATTCCCAGCACCCACATGGTGGCTAACAACTGTATATAACTTCAGGTCAAGGGGAATCTGACGCCCTTTTCTGACCTCTGTGGACACTGCATGACATAGATGCACTTACATGCATGCAGGTAATATATACAAAATTATTTTCAAAATATGTAAAAGAAGCATTTCTGATCCTCCAATCATTCTCTGCAGCATCAGTTTTCTGGAACTTTGAAAGTATTGCTTTCATAAAATTGATTTTTAAACCTCTTCTTCCTCTTTATTCTCTTAGCACTTTTTTAGATTAACAAGTATGCATTTGCTCCAATATACTTAAGATTTACTCTTGAAATGTCAAAGTCATCTACATTTTTAAGTCAGAATTCATGAACCCTCTCTTGCTTTGTCAAAAATATCCTCAGTATTTTTAGTATTGTCTGCTTGATACCCTCTTGTGCACCTTTCATAATCATGTTATATTTTGGTTTTACTCTTCTCAATGTCTACAAATTCTAACTCTCCATTAGAGTATACTTCTAAGGTCAACAACCTCCACATGTCAAGAGGTCTTCAGACTCAATTTTTTAGTCCTTAGCTCTCTTGTACATATATTTACCTACGAATTTTCATCCAGCATTATATATTTATAGGTTGTGTATGCCTTAAAATCTTGAAATTCTCCAAATAAGCAATGCACACAACCTTTGATGACTACTTGATGGTCACTCCATTCGTTCTGAATCTTAACATACTCTTTTGTCATTGAACTTCACCCATAATTTTTCTTTTCTTGTACCTTTTGCACAACCATTCAGAAAACAAGTGTCACCTCAATATTCAATATATTCAGAAACAATCCATACATCATCATTTCTACATTTATATTATGAATGTAGATCTTCTCTAATTTCTTTCTTAGTATGCATCTCATTGTTACACTGAACATCTACTTGTTATATGTAAATTTTGTGTCTTGCCACTTTGCTGAAATTTATGTTTTAGTTTTCTGGGCTTCTTATATACAGAATAATATCATCTGCAAATAAGGATATTTTGATATTTCCTGTCTGTAGCCCTTTTATGTCCATGCCTTCCTTCCTGTTCTAGTTAAGATTTCATTTGCTACATTGCATATCAATGAAGAGAGTGGACACACAGCTTTGCCTTCTTCCTTATTTTAATAGAAACCCTTGAAACATTTCTCCTTTTGGATTGTTATTGCTTATAGCTTTGTAAAACATGGCTATTTTTATGTGGAGATATGTTATCACCATTGCTATTCTCTTCAGGTCTTTTATCACAGGAGAATGTTGGACTTTGTCAAATACCCTTTTCTGTATGAATTAAGCTGCTCATGTGATTTCTATCTTGAGTTCATGTGGGTTTTTTATTTTTTTATATTTTATTTATTATTTTTATTATTTTTTAATGTGTATGAGTGTATTGCCTGCATGTATCCGAGTACACCCATGTCACACAATGCCTCAGAGGTCAGAAGAGGGCTTCGGATTCCCCTGGAACTGGAGTTAAGGACAGTTCGTAGCTGCCATGTGGATGCTGGGTATCAAACCTAGGTCCTCTGCAAGAGCAGTCAGTGCTCTTAATCCCTGAGCCATCTGTCCAGCCCCAATGTGGGTTTTATAAAATAGTCATTCTTCATTATTTATTTATAGTATTTATGTGGATTCCTTCAGATATTCGATGCATAAGCACATGCCATTTTATTTGTTTTTTGAGACAAGTTCTCCCTGTAACACTTGCTTGCCAGGAATTTCCTATGTAGACTAGTCTGGCATTGATCTGCCTATCTCTGCTTCCTGAGTGCTGGGATGAAATGAAGTTATCACCATGCTCACACACACCATTTTTAAATCAGTACCTTTTTAAAACTTCTTTGGTATCATGATGACTGAATTTTTCTCCGTACATTGTCCTGAGTAGATGAAACAAAGGCTTTAATATTGAACAAACTCAATCATATAAACCATTCTTCTCTTACTCTTTAGCTTAGATAAACAATTTTCAGTATTTATCCAAACAGTCAGCATATTTATAATAGGTGGTCTTAAACCTTAATTTGCTAAACTCAAAACACAGGCCCATTCAAGGACATTTTCTCTTGGCATTAGACCATTCCCCTCATGTTAATTGGACATTTTTCTTCATTCTTTTTGCTCTGGCTTTTTATAATAATTTTCAAGACCTGAAATTTTAGGTATTATATTCTCTCCCAGATCTAGTATTAGGTTCCTCTTCCATTATATGTGCTGTTGTCCCTTCCCTCCATAAAATAATGTTAGTTACATTGTTTAAATATTTGCATTACTAATACCTTTTATGTAAGATATATTTTCTCACTTAAAATATAAATCAAGATTTTCCAAGTCAATCATTATATGGAGTCTATTTTCCTACTTAAAATCAATGTAGGAAGTAATTAGAAAAAAATAATGCGTGTCTTGGAATGCAAGGATACAATTATAGAGGAATAGAAACCATGATAAGAACAAATGATGTGAAGATGGCCTCAGGGGTCAATCAGAAAATCAGCCAAACTGAAACCTTCCCCTCTACTTATCTGGTCTTGAAAGATATGTACATCGGGGATTAAAGTGATGATGAAAAAATCTGATAATGAGGGACTTTGTTTACTAAACCCTAGGGATTCATAGACTTAGAAATCAGCCTATGACCTCTTAAGTTATACATCTTGCCCCAGAGAGAAAGCAATGCCATAACCTCCTCCTACAGATGACATTTCATGTCCAGGAGCTACTTGACTCTGTACTTCTGTCTGAACTTCAGATTTAATATTCAAGTGAGATATTTAACATTTTTCTTCCTGAATATAATTGCATAGCTGAGTTATCTTAGTGGATTCAGTAGAAATCAGCAGACATCTATCAGAGTTTCACATTGGATATAAGTAAGGAAACTCTGATTCAAATGACGGAAAAACAACATGAGAAAAACAGACTGCAAACCGCTGTTTACCACTATTATTAGCATGATAATATGTATATTTTCACAAATACTGACCCAGCCTCCATTCTCCTTCCCTATAGTCTGTATAATAGTTGCACCAGTTTACTGCTGAACAGAAATCTGACCATCCTCTAATATGAATTTTAAGATCAAATCTTGTGAAATTAATTGAATTGCTATTCAGATATTGAGAAGGTAATTTTTTATTAATTTTTTTGTGGATTTAGACTTACTTTATGATCTGCACCCTCCCATAGCCCCCCTCCCAGATTTCATGAATTCTGTATAGGGATGTGGTTTTTGTATTAGTTGCTAGGTCTTCCCTAAGCAAGTATCAGACAGTATTTGGATTAACAGCAGAAATTTATTTGCTTACTTATTTACTCACAAATTCTATATTTTAATGTAGAGCAAAGTGTCCACAAGAATTTTTTTCAAACCTTCCCAACTTATTTATCTGCTCTCCCTTGATTTTATTATCTTTTCTCAAGTCCTTATTTCAGATATTTCAAAAACATGGAAACTGCAAATCAGACAATTTCTGATTTCTTTCTTCTGGGACTTAGTGATGATCCAGCTATGCAGCCTCTTATTTTCAGTCTCTTCTTGTCTATATACTTGATCACCATCTTGGGGAACTTGCTCATCATCCAGGCAGTCAGCTGTAACTCCAACCTCCACGTGCCCATGTACTTCTTTCTCTCCAACCTGTCCTTCAATGATATCTGTTTAATCACAACCACCATCCCGAAGATGCTGGTGAACATCCAAACACAGGATCAGAGCATCAGCTACACAGGATGCCTTTCCCAAGTCTGCTTTGTTTTGATATTTGGTAGTGTAGAAAACTGTCTCCTTGCAGTGATGGCCTATGACCGCTATGTTGCCATCTGTCACCCTCTAAAGTACATTGTCATTATGAACCAGCATTTCTGTGTAATAATGGTTTTGCTCTCTCTGTTCATTAGCATTGTGCATGCTCTACTCCATACTCTAATGGTGCTGTCGATGTCCTTTTGCACAGATGTAGAAATTCCCCACTTCTTCTGTGAACTGGCTCAGCTCATCAAGCTTGCCTGTTCTGATACTTTTATCAATAACCTTCTGGTGTACACACTGTCTACTCTATTTGCTGGTGTTCCACTGTTTGGGATAATATTGTCTTATATTCACATTGTGTCCTCTGTTTTGAGAATATCTTCATTGGGAGGGAAGTACAAAGCTTTTTCAACCTGTGCATCTCATTTGTCAGTGGTGTCCTTGTTCTATGGAACAGGTTTTGGGGTATACATTAGCTCTGCATTAATTGACTCTCCCAAGAAGACAGCTGTAGCATCGGTGATGTATTCTGTGGTCACTCAGCTGATGAACCCCTTTATCTATAGTCTGAAGAACAAAGATATGAAAAAAGCCTTTAGAAAATTCATTGGTGTGCTAAAATTTCCTGTATAATATACCATAATTTTCTTTGAATCACAGTTTCTACAGTAAGTAAAAAAATCACAGAATACTTCATCAGTCATGATGCTTGATGACTTTTGTCCTTTCATTTTGTATAACAAATGAATTATTTAATGACATACATCTTCACTAGGTAAAATCTGATATTTATTTTTCTTTCTTTCAATCTTTCTTTTTCTCTTATGTATTTCCTTCTCTTCCTTCCTTCTTTCCTTACTTCCTTTCTCTCAAGACATGGTGGTCTAATTATATTTCCCAGGAACTCATGGAAATTCACCTTTTTCTGCCTCCCCAGTGCCAGTATTAAGGGCATGTACCACATCGCCCAGTTAACCCTGAAAGTTCTCAATTACTGTGAACTTTGACACATGATTTTTAAGCAAATTTTGATCATATTCAACATATTCTTAAGCCCAAGTTTGAATTTTTGGAAAAGTTATTGTGTTTGAAGTCCAAGAAGAAATTTTAGATTAGATATTTAAACATTGTTTCTGATAAATATTGTATATCTGAAGTAACAGTTATATCTGTCATATTTTGGGACATTGACACTAAGTTTCTCCAAAGTGCATACCAGTAACTCAAGATGATTTTCTGTTGTCTGTATCTGACCCTTGTAGGTAATTTAATTTCAATCTTTAAAAGAAAAACAGCACAAATATAGTGAAACAATAAAGAGACTTATCTATCATTATAAGGCATCAGAGGTAAAATTGTCCTAGAATAGAACTGAGTTTTACTCAGTCATCATCTTTGCCTTCATCCTACAATTAATTCATCTTCAGGTAATCATGTAATTGTAGTAAAACAGTGAAAAACAGACATGATGCCAGAGACAGACCACTAAAGACTTTTGCCCTTTGCTATCAATATTTATTTATCGATGTGCCCATATATACAACACCTTGCTTGTGGACTGAATGCTGGATCTCAAAATTTTAGGATCATATCCCTTAACTTGTTATTACTTTATGAAACAAATGGGTGAATGTTATTTGCTTTGACAAAAATTTCCAGAGAAAGAGGTTCCCCTATGTTTTGTGGATGGGTCCTAAATGCCATTAAATGTTTCTGTATATGACAGACCAAAACAAAGTGTAACAGATTATAATGGTCAAAGAGCCACTGGGGAAACGGGACAGCTGACCCCAATCTTAGTTGAAGAAATATTGGCAAATGATTACTGCTGGGTGAGGAAGGGCTGATCTAACTAAAGCAAGAGACTCTAGGTAGGCAGACTAGACCTCAGTAGATGAACTTGCACTGAGGGACATCTGAGGATGCTAACTTGACACAATAGACCTTAAGACAAATGATGGAATATATGAATTCCAGTGCGGGAAACTATAGGAGGGTGCCAGTGGGGAAGGGGGTATAAAGATGATTAAGATTGATTGAGATGTTCTGTATGAAATACACACAAATTCAGTTTAAAAAGACACCTAGTCAAAACCATCTAATAACTAATTGACAAGACAGAATTCAAAACCAAGTATTTAATTTTACAATGTAGAATGCCGGAGAAGAGAGAAATTATTAGTGTGAACACTGAGCATTTTGAAGTGCTCAATCTTTTCTGTTTGTTTGATTACTGAACTTTGCCTATATTACAATAGAATGGCTAAAACTGGAGAAAGAAATATAGAAAAGACATAAGTGGAATGAAACCTGTAAGCAACACATATACTGAAAAAATTAACATCTTCTTTTTCCAACCACCAAAATAGAAAAGCATACTTGTATGTAGGATATAATCATTAGAAAACATAAAATACAATGTTTAATGTGATGCAGAGATGGTCTATCAGTTAAGAGCATATACCACTCTTGTACAACACCTAAATTTGGTTCCAAGCACACATGTCATGTGGCTCACAAATCCATGTAACTCTAACTGTAAGGGGTCTGATGTCCTCCTCTCCTCTGTATTCACTTACATATGTGCATTTGTGAAAAATGTGAAAGTTGGGAAATCTGGAATTTCACTTAAGATTTTTATTGCTTAAAGATCAACATAGATCAATGAAACCACAAATAAACATGAGTATTTCTTTAATATTTTTACATTTCTTTAAATATTATTTGTATGTGTGTGTGTGTGTGTGTGTGTGTGTGTGTTCATACATGTATGGACACATGTACCATGGCACACTGTTGTGTAGCAATTTCCTCTGAGGAAAAACAGTATTATTTTCTAGGGCAGATGTGTGGTGTGTGGCTGCCAGGTGGGCAGCCACAGGACCTAAATGGATTATCACAGAACTGACAAAAAGACCAGAGGACTCTTGCAGTTTATTTCTTTACTCCTATTTCTTCATCCACTCACAAGTGCCCAAAGCACAGCGGTTTTTAAACTCATCCTCATTAGAACTACAGTTGAATGTTTACAGAACAGTGACACCCTAATAATAAAGTGGCTAGAATATAGCAATTTAGTAAAAATATAATGACCAGGATAACAGTATCACCATCATAGGCCTTGACAGATAAAAGTGTCTCCTGAGAAATGAGGAAGTACTAGCATTCTGGAGATAACTCCCCAGAAAGCATTCTTGCATAAACTTTCTCCTGAGACAAGGTTCTCCAGGCATACATGTTCAAGGTTCAGCTAAATTTACCAAGAATATTTTTTTATCTTCTTTTTGAGACAGGGTCTCCCTGTAGCTCCAGCTGCTTGGAACTTACTCTGTAGACCAGGCTTGCCTCGAACCAAGCATATTTTTTAAAACCATAGAAACACGATTTCACAGTCCCTTCATCTCCCCCTTTTTGTTTTTGTAGCTTCTCATTAAAGCCTGTGTAATGATTTGAAACAATACAGGCCCAGAAACAAGAAACAGGGAAATAACCTCTATAGGGCTGAGAAAAGGCATAAACCACTGTATGCATTAAGGCCTTTGTACAGAGTCCATAGAAATTTTAGCAGCCTCATCCTTGAGAGATCAGACTTGCTGCTCAATTTGATGATAATAATAAGAAATTTTAAAGCAACACATGCCAGGAAATTGCTCACAGCCCAAGTGTTCTTTTAAAAGCAGATGGTCTATGGTGGCCCAGTTTTGCAGCACAACTTGAAGTTCTCCAAGCTCTTGGTTGATCTCTGCCAGGATCCAAGCAGTGATATTGGTTGTTTTACTGAGAACACAAATCAATTTTACAATTTCTTTCTTCATGTGTGTAACAAGTATAGGAATGGAAAGCAGGGAGGCTGATCCACAGTCACAGCAGTAGATCAAGCAGCTGAAGATTATCATTGCAGCCTGATGGGAAGCACATAGAAAACTGGTATTCTTATCTTTTAGAGTTAGCAGTACTGGGGCATTTTGTCCATGGCCACATACCCCAACATATTGAGCAGGAAAGCCTGATAGGTGTCGGTCTCGAAGAAAAATGTCCTATCCAGGGGGGAGTAAATTACCTTTAGATATGAGTTAAACTAGTGTTACAATGACATGCAAAGTACAGTTAAAGCAAAGACAATGAGTATATGAAGTAAAGGCAATAGAGAAATTCAGAGTCTTGTGACACATATTTATTGTGCGTATGTATCAATGCTATCCTATACAATATTTTACTAAATAAGATGAGTTACATCTAGCCTCTTTAAGTCCCTCTTGAGGGGACCAGGAATAGATGAACCCCCTTGTACACAAAAAGAAGTTTTCTGTAGTCCGTATTGAGTGAAATTCAGCCATGTATTGGAATCCAACCCCTAGAGACAGTAAGTTTTACCAGGGAAATTGTGACAATAACATCTCTGTAGATGATATCTGGATTTCCTTTCTTTATCCTGATCTATATATCAGGATATTATATATATGCCAGCATCTTTTGGATTTCCTTTCTTTATCCTGATACAGATATACACATATGTATATCTCTCATGTGTCTTTGAAGATACTGAAATCAGTATTATTTCTTAGTGACTTATGAGAGGCATTCTGTCAGTATCCCAAACTGTCATTTGTGACTAAAGACCTCTTTCCCATGACTATACCAAACAATGGGCCCTACAGGATAGAAACAATTCATTTGGCACATTGAGACCACTTCTACGCTAGTAGATATAACACAAATACGTTGGGCAGATTAGGCATAGATCAAAGCAAACATCATTAAAAAATAATCCAGAGGGAGGGGTTGGACTTGCTGTTGGGATCGTCAGAGAGCCTGCTATGGTCTTTGATACAATTTCTTCATTTGCCCCCAAGTCTGAATCTGTGCTCGATTTGTCTGCTCTGTTGTCTCAACTTTTGGAAGTGTCACCTGCATTCTCTTGAACCAGTCCTCCAGTTAGAGTTCCTGATACTCAAAGGCCCTTTTCATGTGGAGGCTTCACACTCTTGCATGGGACCCACACAGATTCACCTGTTTCTCTGCAGGCATAAGCATATCACTCACCTCACACCTTAACATACCCAGGTTGCCATGAGTCATGGTCAGGCTGCTTATACCATACTGGCACCAAAGGTGGCATCTGGCCTTTTGGTCCTTGCACCCAATGGCATTCCATTGAGTTGGTCCCATCTGTTAAAATTTCAAAATTTAAAGTATATAAGGTTCTACATAACCTGTTCCATGGTGAGTTTAGAATGCCTTATATTCCCCCCCTTTTTTGGGGGAAATAATGTTTTAAAGTAGTATGTTTTCTTTCCATGATCACTTGTCTTGTGGAGTTATAAGGTATACCTGTCTTATGAATTATGTGAAAGGAAGCAAAAAAGCATTGCAAGCTGAGTACATGATAAGTGGGTGCATTATCAGTTTTAATCGGTTTTGGTATCTCTGAAATAGCAAATGCCTGTAACAAATGATGAAGTACATGTGCTGTTGTTGTTGTTATTGTTACTATTATTAGTGGTTCAGGGGTCTGAAAAGTAAGTATCCACAGTAACGTGAACATATTTAAGACATTCCAACTCAGGAACAATAGTAATATCTATTTGCCATAACATTTGAGGGGAGCATCCTACGGGTTAACACCTAGAGGT